TGACACTTCCTTGGTTGCAATCTTTATTCCCAGCCTGTTAATTTCTGCTTCAAAACGCCCAAGGGGTTCCAGAGACCTTGCTTCCCCCCCCAAGCGTAACAACCTCACTTCTTTAACTCATGTTAGCAAAGGCCTAGGTAGTTCCGTAATGTCGCAATAATGCTTTTTATCTCTATACCTGACGAGGAGAGGGGTGATCTCTTCGTACAGAGTTTGAGGGGGTTCCAAAGAGTCGGCCATCCTTGAAATCTGCACGAGGGGCTCTCCCAAGATCATTGCCTTGGTCCTTTGAATTTTTTGGCTGGTCAGTCGCATCGTTCTCGCTATCGTCTTGGGTGGCGGGTAGTAAACGCGTTGTCGTACTAATTTCAAGATCTCCGGATCATCTTCGCCACTGCTTTCCACATCATCAGATGATTTTCCTTGTGTGGGTTCGCCCCAGGAGATCATGCGTAGAGTCCCGGCCATCATCGGCGAGACCCGCGGAACCGCATTAATAGCAGTGCGAAGGGTCAATCGCATGGGCACCACGTAGGGTTTTCCTCCTGTATTTCGGAGGACGATCGATCGTCGTTCGAAATCCAGGTTTGCTCGTAATGCCACTAGAGCGGGAAGTCCGAAAAGAACGTCGTACGTATTAACATCTAGTACTACGACATCCCCAAGCGCGTGTACTTTTCATCTGCCGAAACGAGCTGATCTTTCTCGGTGAGCATGATCAGGTCGGTTTTCCTACCGGCCCTTTCGACCACTCTTAGTGAGATAGCCAACACAGCGGCTCCTGAATCTATTATCGCATTGTAAGAAACTCCCCAAATTTCAATATCACATTCCGCGGACTTCCACGAAATCGGTTTAATTCGTAAGAAGTGATCGTCTTTCTGAATTAATCCCACCCGTATTGGGTCCGGAATGCTTGTTGGGTTTTCTTTCGGCGCGGGGCCCTTGGCTTCGGCACTTGGTGTTCGGGCGAGGGCAAATCGCTTTCGGTTTGCTTTGCAATGCTGTAGCATTCGCTCATTGGCTTGCTTAGAGATCGAGAGAAGGTGACCGATTGGTAGTGGAATCCGATGGTCCAAAGTTCGGATAATGTTTAATACGTCGATTTCTCCTGTGACGAAGGTGGGTCCTCCCGAGTCCATTTCTCCTAAGGACGGTCGCCACTCCGCCACTTCTTTCGGTTCTGGTGCTGGTCTGATTGTTTCGATCATTCCTAGTCCAGGATATTCCAGCGACACATACTGATCTGGCGGAATTAGCTCGGCGGCCTCTTCCGCGGTTGCCAGGGCACTTCCCCCACCCTCTACTTCTTCCATCAAGGCTCCGACTCGTTCAGGTCCATTGGTGATGGGGGCCGCAACCATAGGTACGAATCCAATCCGCTGTTGCGGGGGTCGGTGGGGGCAATCACGGGCTAGATGTCCGGGCTGATGACAGGCATAACAAACATTCAGATTGTTCGCAGCTCCCCCGAGAGCAGGGGCGGGGGCTAATCCTTGTTGCATCGGAGGGGCACGCACCGCAATAGGTCGCATGTTCATCATCATGGCTTCCAACCGAGCATTGTGCTCTCGCTGTTCCTTTTTGCTTTCTTGGATCAAACTATCAAAGTTTTGGTTAGTTCGAAAATGGTCGCTGATTCGTTCGATCGTACGGAGCCTCCACCGGCGGCGGGGGTAATGCCCTGACGGGCGGGGGCATCATAGGAGCAGAGATGCTCGGAGTCTCGCTTAGGATTACTCGTTTGGGGCCTATCTGTTCCATGTAGGTGACAGGTCCTGATACAAATCCCATGTTTTCAAATTTGTTTTGTAAAGCAGTCAGTTCTGCTGTTGCCCGTACGAGCTCGGTCAAATCTCTGTCTCTAGGGTAGTCTTCTCCTTCCAGGAAGTTCGCTGCGAACTTCTGTTCCATTTCTTCCGCGGCAGCCATAATTTGTTGTAGCGTATGAGTGATGGGAGAAAACTGCTTTCGCAACTTAGTCCTTATTGTTCGACTGAGGAGTCCGTCAATGAACAAATCTCTCCCTACTTGCTCACCTCGCTCAGTTTTTACGAACATCCTGTAGAACCGGTTTCGATATTCCGCAACGGATTCGAGCGGTTTTTGCACTCGATCCTTGATCATGTATAATGCCTGCTCAGGGTGAACATAATCAAATTGGTTCATGAAATCTCGTTTGAAGGTCGGGAGATCCACCCATACATAGGTACTATATCAATGATGAGCGTCTCCTCCCATTCAAGCCGGAATGTTGATTTGTGCTTCGTGATCATCGTACTGCTGTGCTCTAAGCGTGGCCAGCCATGCTCCTGCGAGATGGTGCGCCGGATCAAATAGATAGAGATATGGTGGTGACATGGGAGCTCGTGCACGTGGGGCAGGTTCATTAGGTGGATTAGCATTTTGTTGTGGGACCGGATTTTGCACGTTGGCAGCCATATTGGCTGCTCGTCGGTTAGCCGCTCTGCTTCTGGGGACGATAGGGTCGCGTCTAGGCACGTTCCGAGGGCGAGGTCGCCCCTGGTTAGCCAGGTCGCCTAATTAACTCGCTATCAATCCTAAGACCCTAGCCACGTGTCGGGCTCCGATACCAACCTCACGCCCGTCGCGACTTCCTGATCGGAGTGGGATGTGGGCCTGGAAGTGCGAAAAGGGGTGTGCCAAGGATTTTTGGGGAAAGTGGGGGAGTCTTAAGGGTATGAATGCAATTAGGCGAGTCTGGGGTGCGTGCGCAAGGGACTCACGGTCTGGTGGGGCCGGGGCACTGTGGGTGACGGGTTACGGGGAAGTCCCTCCGTGGCGAGGGTGGTCCTGAAAAGTTAGGCCGTCGGGGGCCGCCACGTGGCGCAGGTCGCCGCGCACCCGGGTTGGGCCTTCGGAATTCCGGAGTTCTCTGTCCGCCGCTACGTTGGCAGTTCACGCAAAACGTATTGGGCCAGTAGGGGGCTATGGCGGGCCACGGGACGACACTAAGTTGATGATATGGGAGAAGGAGGCGGCAAGGAGGGAAACTGGTGGTGATCTCAACGAATCCCGGGTGGGTGAAGTAGTAGGTGTGGTCGGGGGAAGGGAAATCGGAGCACCGAGGGTCACTAGTGGCGGCACAGTGAAATTCCCGCGGACATAGCCGAATCTCCGTGTGACAAGGGTACCGTGTCCTTATGAGTTCGTGTATTATAGGGGTGAAATAGTCCGGGTCAAAGGACGAGTCTGAGTTCAAAGATCGCGTCATGGTATCATCGTCGATGGGATAGCTCGGGTCGGGATATCGTCACTGCGCACGGACACGTGTAGGACAGGCAGATTCAGTGACGCCTCAGTATGTTCGTACGGGATGACGGTTCCGCCTCAAGTCTTCTTGGGTGGGCGAATCGACGTACGGGAATGCGTGTAAGGGCGCGACTCGGATTGTGTTCACATGTATTCTCGTGCGGCGTTCGTGGGGTCAATCCCCATATCGTTTAATTGCTTCGGATTATGCAAGATGCGGCCATATCACAACCCCCCCCCCCATCGCGAGATAAACAAGAACGAGGACAAAATCGCTATCGGTGCCAGATCCTTATCCCATTTACAGTTGCACCCGGTGTGAGCAAAGGTTCGACACAAACAAAGGTAAGGACCGGGATTCTCCGCAGTGATGTAGATGCGCAAGCATAACATTCTTACATCCATACATTCAACAATCGCACACATCGCGCAATCGAAATGGACAAAAGAAGGGACAAGTGTGAGCAAAAACCCAAGTCTCGGGTCCCGAAAGCCGAAAATGTCAATAAGAACGGGCAAACCGCCCGGAGCCGTAATCAAAATGTATATACACAGACGAAGAGGGGGAAGAGACAAAGAAACAGCAAACCCACGTCCATCGACCTCAACTCTCTCTCCCTCTCTCTCTCTCTTTCTCCGATGCGGACAGTCCGTCGTCACGCATTCACCCACAAAGTTGTTACCCCGCTTAGTCCTCCCGCACCCGTCGGACTCGCCCGTGCCCACAGTCCGTCGTGGCCCACGTCAATCCCGCGCGTTCGGCACCAGCTCGTCGGGCCGCCCAACTCCTACTCTCCTCACCTCTTACTTTGCTCGTGTGCTGACCCTCCCTGATCACGCAACCTCGAGCTTCCAACAATAGGTCAAGAGAGCTGACTAATCGCGCAACCGAAATTTATAGCGTGCATGCATGCATGAAAAACGCGGAATTACCAGGACTTAGAGTGAGGATTAGAGAGGGAACGCCTGCGTTCTACATGATCGGCTGCGGCGTGGGGGACGTAACCCTTCTCCACGCATTGATCCTAGCATGCAAGCCGCGGCTTACCAAACTTCAGCAAAAGAAAGAGAGGGAGGGCGGGAGAGATGAAGTGCAAGAGGAAAGATACAGTTACAATGGCGCCCGCCCAAAATTGCAGTCACACACACGATTAAGGGCGCCCACTAATCAGAGTACCATTGCAGCCGCATGAAAAAGCGCGTAGACAAAAGGCGCAGCACGACAGAGAAAGTCCTAATTACTGAATTCCTAAATTCCTATCTAGTGCGGAAAAGTAAAAAGCATACATTCCAGAAAGAAAGTCCAAAATCCCGAGAGCCATCGGGGCTCGACAAAATTCGAAAAAGATTCAAAAGGAAATTCAAAAAGAACGAAACAATTTCCCGCGCGATGTCCGCGCCCAAAAGATCGAACCCGAAACGAAAGAAATGACGTCAATATTTATTAATCGCGCGCGTGGTGACGCGCCAGACATCCATCCGACCAATAGCCCAGCCAGCCGTCCCCGGACAGACCCAGCCCCGAAGAAGCGACGAAAAAGACGAAGAAGCAAGGGTACTGATGCAACTTTCCACGGATCCCGATTTCCCGTAAGTGGCCCAATCTTCCCAGCTTAGGTCCCCTCGTTGCAACCGCTTCGCCCGCTATGGAAATGGAACGTCTACTACGTATGAATTCGGCAGTATGAATTAGGCAGAGGGATTGCGGTGAGCTGGACGGCATGTAACGGTAGTAGTAGCGATCGCGAACTGCGTACTGGGTGTGCGCGTCGCTGCCTGTAGTTTTTAAGAGAGTCCCTCGCTATGAGGAGACGAAGGCGAAGTTCGGCATCGATGGAGCGGGAGGGTGAGGACGCAAAGGACGAGGAGGACAAGGACAACTTACAGTGCAGTGCGGAGTGTGCGCGTCAGAGAGGTGGGAAGATGGGCGGGAGCGGAGACGACCATCACGATGGTCCGAAGGGAGGACAGTCAGGAGAGGGGGAGATGAATGAAGCTATGGAGGGATCCGGCAACGAGTGTGAAGAAGATTCGCGTCGTTTATCCGGGTCAATGAAGCTATGCCGGGGGACTTGGACATTGTGCTTCTGGGCCATCGCTGTGGCGGCGGTTCCGCTTGCCTTAGCTGTGTTGTTTGGGTCATGGTGGTTCATTGCCATTCGGAATGGGGACGCAATGAGGACGGGTGAACACAGCTGGGGTAATCGGCTTCTGCTGAATTTCGCCCGACGATGGCTATTAGTAACACCTGGAACAGATCATTTTCTCCTCCGTCCTGAGGCAGGTGAGCAGATGGTTCTCTTTGGTTGGCTTTTATGGAGTGCCACCAGTTGACAGCGATTGCGAGCGATCCCGGTCCTGCCTGTAAGGGTATGGAGATGTGTCGCCTGTTTGTCACGGCAAATAGTGCAGCAGTCTCGTTTGCCTGGTTTGGAAGGAAGTTTCGGTGGTTCATGAATGCGCATGTTTTTTAAAGTGGCGGTGAAGCTATAGCATTATTTTTTTCATTGAATTTGAACGAGAAAAGGTGACCGTGTCATCACGTTCCACACACACACACACACACACACACACACACACACACACACACACACACACACAGGAAAATAGGTGAGCGTGTCATCACGTACACACACACACACACACACAACCTCATGATGAGTCGGTGAAAGTCCGACGAAACAGTCTGGTACAGTCATGCTTTTTTTGAGTGTATAGCGAATATGACAACACACACACACGCGCGCGCGCGCGCACAGAGGGAAAAAAAGGTCCTGTAGGGAGGTTGCGAAGGAGCAAATCTGGATGGAGGTATGGCGACGACGTTACTGACGAAGTCATCTAGGCCGTGTGCGACCGGATATGCGATGCGGGTTATGTTGCTGATACAATTTCCGCGTGCAGGCAATGGAGTGGCTTTTCCTGAGTCAGACGTCTCTCCTGTGCGCGTCGACAGGCTTCCGTTTCCTCTTTTATGGATGGTGAGGTTCTTCTTCCCCTCCTCCTCATTCGCATGCAGTTGCTATCTGTAGCTTCTTCCCAAATTACCTGCTTCGGAGCGGAACAAGGAATAATTGCAATCGGATCCTCAAGTGTGGTGTTTGTGCAGTCCAGGAGCCTGTGGTTTCGTCGTTTCCCTTTTGATCGTCTTTGCAGGGGGCCAGAGTGAGGGGGTAGAGTATTGATTCCGTACATACATAAGTCTGTGCTTAGTGCTCGAACTTACAAAAGCCTGGGGTGGATACCCACGCCCCATCACTGCGGAAAGGGGCGTAATTCGGTTTGTTCGGCTTTAAAGGCCATGCTGGCATTCCCCCCACCCCACCCCAGGGTTGCGGATTGTCAGAGCAGGGGTCTGGGAGTGGCCACTTCTGCTTCTGCACTACCTGAGTCTACCTCCCAACGCCTGCAACTAAAACTGGGTAATGGTCCCAGACTCCTTTTCCGGGTTGTTTGTGAGGTATTCCTGGCCTCCCCTTCTTTTTGCAATATAAAGATTCTGTGTTTTTGTGAACAAAAGAGAAAAAGAAAAAGAAAGGGGCGTAATCTGGATTCAAAACTCAGATCGAAATCCAGGACTGGCTGATTGTCAACTCGGTCGGTGAAAGTCGGCCGGGCTTGAGAATCTGGATGCAATTCCCTTTCCGGTACATCAACCCTGATCACTCGCAAGTTGCTTGTCCTTTCTTTTTGTCTGCTTATGCGTTGACATCCCCTTCTCTCCCACCTGCTCTCCCTTCCCTTCCACCTCCTCCCCTTTCCCTCCGAGTGGGTTGTCTAAATGGCCTGAAGATTAATTAGCACGAACATCATTGAAACGAATGGATGGGCATCATCACCCGCAGGGTAGCGTACAGGTGCTGTCTCTTATACACATCTAGATGTGTATAAGAGACAGCCATACCGGCTCTCCCTTCACTCCCGCCTCCTCCCCTTTCCCTCTCTGCGGCTTGTCTAAATGCCATGAAGATTGGCTCGAACGTCATTGAAACGAATGGATGGGCATCATCACGTGCCGGGAAGCGTGCGTAACATCCGGCGATGGTTTCCAAGCGCTTGCTAGCGTAACATCCGGCGATGGCGGCGTGATGACGATTCGGTGAACGCGGGATCGCCGCAGAGAATGACAACATTATCGATGACTCAACTACCGAGGATGATGGTGATGATACGGTAATAATGATTACGATGATGATGATGGTGATGTATGATCGTATCGGTGATGGTAAGAATGATTATAGAATCGTGATGAGGATAATGACGATTATGACTGTACTTGAACATGATCTGTTCTGTAGGTCGTACAATCCTTCGCATCTACGAATACAGAGGATAATGACTATTACCATGATGGCTATGGAAAAGGAAGTGACCACCACACAGCAACGATGAGAGGTAGAGGGATTAGGATGCCTTGGCACTTGTGCGCGTTGTCGTTGCCGCCGATGGGACTGACGTGGTGATACATAACGCGTGCCCACGTGTATCTAGCTCGGCTATCTACTTCCGTTCTCCTTAATCGACATTATGATTTTTTTTTTTTTTTTTTTTTTTTAACATGATTATTGTCATTGACGCTGTTATATATTTTATTTTATTTTTCCCAAAAAGAAGTATGTTATTTTGTTAATCTGACTGCATCTGGATTCGTACTTGGGTCTGTATTCCAACAGTTCATGGGTGTACCAACTGAGCTAAGCCCTGTTCCGTAGTAAGGTATTTCCAAGATTTTTTTTTAAAATATTTTTATTATTTTATTATTTTATTATTTATTATTTTTATTATTTTTACTTTATTATTATTATTATATTATTATTATTATTATTTTTATATTTCCAAGAAATGGCTCCTTGCCATTCCTCGCCGGCAGCTCCTAGCTACCATAGCCTGCCTGCGTCTTTTCATCGGGTATATATTAGGATTTTCTTTTCCTTGCTTTCTTTCCCCTCCTGGCAAGAAGGACGCGATCGCCACAGTCCGTAATTGAATTTTTCTATCTATGTGCTTCGCCACGCCACTGTCGAAACAAAAAAAAGTACGAGTGCGTCTTTCGTGAAAAATGGGCAGATGCATGCGTCATTATTTACAGGAACGCATGCATCTTGACCACTTTCTGTGGAATATGCAATCCTACTTTTTTTGTTTCGACAGTTGTGTGGAGAGCCCCTATGATTATCTCTGGGTAACGTGGCTCTGGTGACTGAATGACTGAATGGTACGGCCATCTAGCTGCTGATAAMCCCTACCTACCCCTACCCCTCTTCCCGCCGCTCGCTTCGCACCCTTGCCCTTCCTTTTTGGATACATTTTACGAAACACCTACGTCCTCTGTCTAATTCATCATCACCATCGGAAAAAAAAAAAAAAAAAATCGCCGTCAAGGCAATTGATGTGCACGGACGGATGATAGGGAACTGGCTCGGATGTGACCTTTTTTTTTTTTTTTTTTTTTTTTTTAAATGCACGTGCTTAGCATTTTTTATTTTTTTGAAAGGGCGATGGCCTTGAGGTATTATCATCGGCAGTCAAGGCCACCCTGCGCTGAAAAGGCCACCCGATATCAGATTAGACACAATATTGAATTTACCTGGGCTGGTTAGTGCGTGTTTAGCATTGGTCTAACAGCCAGAGGCGAGGTCTTACTGGGCCTCGGTCCACTACACAGCAAACTATATGAATTTGGACGCTTTGGGGACCAGGAACATTCAGAATGTTGGACTCGTCGGGATGCACGTGGTGCTGAAAGCGTCCACGTGCATGTAGACTGATATGCAGTGGAACCAGGCCCACTTACTGAGATCCTTCCTTTGTGGGCGTCGATCTCTGTGATTTACGGCCGGAAATGCAGAATTGGTGTAAGTGGGATCGTTCCAGGCACTGGCTTTTTTCTTCTTTTTTTTTTTTGGTCGAATCGGCCAGTTCCTGCCCTTGAGCACGGTTCCACTAGCAAAGGAGTAAGGTAAATTGTGTCACACAAACACCTTTGGGATATCTGCGGGACATCGTCCGACCACTGATGCAGGAGAATCGGATGGCAGCGAAATTGCGAGGGATTTATATTCTGATGTGGTGTTTTTTTTTTTGTTTTTGTGCTTTTTCTTTCCAGTTCTTAAGAATGGGAGGCGGGAAAACCCCGAAAAGAAAATAGAAAGACTCATTTTGATTGGCAGCCCTTCAAAAGATTTGAAAAAATCAAGTACTCGAAGGGCATGGTTTTGAACCCCTTCTTTTTCCTGCAGGTCAATGGTTAACCCCATCCCGGGGCAAGGTCCCACTTGCACGGACTACGAGATTCTGACCGTTGATCTGTGCTATCTACGGTCAATATCTCTTAATTCGTGTAAGTGGGACCTAGCCCCAGTACTTCGATTTTCTCTCAAAATATGCGAAATGCTCGCTTCAGCATGGCAACCCTCAGAGAAGGGAGTCCCATCAGGCACACGAAGGGACTCCCTCGCGGTGGCACGTGAGACTGCAACAGTCATGTACCACTCTGTCCTGATTAGGCATTGGCTGGGTGGGGAGCAGGGGCGTGGTCCCACTAGCAAAGAGGATCGGATAGAATGCCTGAATCTGGACGAGTTTATGGAGATGTGCAGGAAATCGAGATTGAACTGCTTTTATGCATCTCTGCATGAAACACATCCAGATTCAGGAGCTCTATCCTATCCTTTTTGCTAGTGGGACCTCGGCCCTGGGGGAGGAGACGGGAGGGTTAGTGGGACGGCAGCACTTTCAAAAGTCGGCCTGCTTCCCATCTTGGGAAATGTAACGTCGCCATTTTTTTATTTTTTAAAAGTCTTTAAAATTACTTTTCTTCCTTTTCTTACAGTGCCGCACCAAATAGGCTATGACCCGTGTGCTAGTGGAACCGTGCCCCTTATGTATCCATTGATTCCATTTCGGGAATCGTACTCATGACCTGTCTATTAGTAGTTCATACGTATACCATTTAGCCACATTGATTGGCCGTTTCTTTGTTTCTCCCACCCGTTCTATTCTTTCTTATTTATCCTATCTTCTTCTTCTTCTTTTTTTTTTTGTTTTTTTTTTTTTTGTTTTTTTTGTTAATCCACCCGAGGGTGGGTACCGTAAACCGTATGTGTTCATATAGTCCGTAGACTATTCCCGTCCTTATCGAGGGAGATGCTAGCCTTCTCTCGGCTCAACGAACACTATCTATATATTGTCACGAGAATATGAGAGAGCAAAAACGAAAAAAGAAAGAAAGAAAGAAAAAACAGAAAAAAACGATTTCATTTTTTTATCTTCTTATATGTACTCTTTTTAAAGGGAAGAGCGGGTCTCGCCTAACGCCGTCGCGAGCCCCAGGGGGGACTTCCACTGTTGGGAAAATGGTTGGGGACCCGGGGCAAGGTCCCACTTGCACGGATTAAGAGATTCTGGCCGTTGATCTTTGCTATCTACGGTCAATATCGCTTAATTCGTGCAAGTGGGACCTAGCCCCGGGGGCCTCGGCCCACATGCACCGTGTAGTGCCTGAAAACTACACTGTGTGACTGCGGGGAGAGCGGGAAATGTACATCCGCATTATTGTCTGTGCCATGGCGCCGCGCCATGTGTCACGGTGGTCCCATCATTGTAAAAATAGTGCAGCAAGTGAGGGTGCAGCCGATATTCGCAGGAGGCCATATAGAGTGCTGCCTTTGATCTCGGCAGGCCAAGGAAAGGGCAGGAGAGGAGCATGGAAAAACAAAACCCCCCACACTCGGCCCAGAGGCATTTCCTGAGTAGTGATTCGAACCCGAGTAGGCGAAAATCAGACTCTAAGAGGTGGACCCCACTGCTTTGCGGCAAAGCTTTGGAAGACGATTTGTGAAACCCCACTGCTTTGCGACAAAGGTTTGGAAAACGCTCAGATATGACGTGGCAGACGTTTTCACTCAGTTTTGTTTTGCCCGTTCCGTGCGGTTCGGCCATTCTGAGGGAGTAGGGGGGGGGCACCTCCCTCGCTTTGGCCATCCCATGTGGAAAGGAGAGCCAGGGATTGGGTGAGAAAAGAGACAAGCGGACGTGAAGTTTCCATATAGGGAAAGTTTTCCCTATCCGGTAACCGGCACCAATGGAACTGCCGAAAATTTGTGCTGCAGTGGGGTCTGCTTTTCTCTTTCCCACCCCCGGGGCCTACGATTTGGGTTTGGCGGAAGCTTTCCAGGCGGAAAGCTTCCGCCAGGCAGTGGGGTCCACCTCTAAGTCTCCTCTGAGAAAAAAAAAGAAAAAAGAAAACATGAGCTTTGCTGCAATGGCGGATTCGAACTCTGGCCTTTGTGATCCCTTCACTTTCGGCCTCCCTGCACTACTCTCCACATGCAGAGAAGACAAAAAAAAAGGCAATGTATCTGTTCATATTCCAGCGGAAGAGTCAGTATCTTTTTGCACATTCGGAGACTGAGAGATAACACACGCCTCGCTACAATTACTGAGGTTCATACTCCACATACCAGAGGCAGGGGAGAAAATCAATAGTGTTCTTCAGCCTCAGTACGGGGCGATCTTGTCTGCACTACGGAGACTGACAGATTCACAGATCTGCGGCCTGGACCCACGACCGCCCCCATGCCCTATTTCGCGTCGTTTTCATAACTTTTCAGTCCATCTGACCAGACCCCGCCGTGTAGTTAGCCACCCTGCTTTTCAGAAGGTGGCTAACTACACGGCCGCCTCACAAACGCTGCCTTCCCTCCTCACGGAAAACAAATGGGAAAATGCCATATATCAATGGAAGAGGCCCACCATTTCTAAAACACGCGTCTTCGCCATATTCTGTCCGATCTGTGGCCTCTGGATGGCTACGGCCTGTCACACCCTGCGCACAAACTACACTACATGCTGCATGTGGGCCAAGGCCGCGGCTGTAGGCCGAGGGGGGACTTCCGCGGTTCTTTTTCTCGTGCCCGAGTATCGTGTGAGTCTGGCGGTGAGTGTTCAAATATTGTTTTTCCGCGATTTGTTTTTTGAGTCTGGCGGCGACTGTTCGGGCCTGGTTTGGTTTGGGCCTGTGTGAATGGAGTTTGGGCAGCACAAACGTGTGGAACACTGGGGTGGAAGGCTGCTGTTGGCGAGGTTGGGGAGGTTTAGCGTGAGGCCAGCCGCGCGGTTGGAGACTTACCTGTCGGCCGGTGCGTGGCTCATCCTATCGATGGAAACTCTCTCTCTCTCTCTCTCTCACACACACACACACACACACACACACACACACACACACACACACACACACACACACACACACACACACAAAGAAACAAGTGTGGCAGTGTATATTTCCATGTTCTAGCGGTAGATTCATTCGATTTTGCTCATCCTATCGATGGAAGTACCATGAGACTCCTTTCTTGGGGGTGGGTGGGTGGGGGGAATCTCCTGTCTATTGGTGGCGGGGAGCATCACCTGGTGGAAACCGGGTCCAGTGTCTCAAATGTTTGAGAAACAACCCACTCTTAGCGCTTTCCCGCACATTACGGCGCAGGGAACCCTGACGGCATTGATGACTTCCGTATGGAAGTATTGACTGTCAGTCTGGCCCACGCTTTTGCAGCCCTCTCAAGAAGTAGACCCACATAAAGAAACACCTGGAAAAAAAACAGTCGCTTTAATGGGCGACATTTTGTTCTGCAGAGAGTGCAAACTCTGAGATAATATTTTTCCCACAGTCCTGTGTTCTGAACCTGTGGGTGATCTCGTCGTGTGGACCACCTTGGGGTCATGTGTATCTGCCAACGTTTGGCCTTAATGGGAAAGTCTTGCAGGCACCATTTTTATCAGGAGGTGGATACTGCTCCGAAGCAATTACATATCTGTCCGCTCTTGATGCTGTCCTGGCAGACCGTCGGAGTTTGGAAATATCCCAGCATGGAGATGGCTTCAACATGAAATTCTGGAGGGGATTGCCAGAGAGCACTAAAACGGTAAGTTGCAAATTTTAATGTAGCATGCCAGACTATTTTTGCGATGAAAATTCAGGTGTCACTATTGGCTTTCCCCGAACACAACAACGTACCCTTACCACATATCCTTATGACAGCTCCATCCGTCAGACCGGAAAGGTAGCCTGTATACATGCATATGATGGTACGTTGTATTCGTGTGAAGACATCAGTAGGTGCTATTTGCTGAGATTTTGAAGCAGGTATGCAGCATTGGCTGCGCTTGTGACGTTCAAACGTCCTTTCCCCGTGCAACCAGTCAACATGATGTGTTATTAGGCCACAATGGTGGACTCCTCATATGTCAGACTCTATAGTATATATTGTCACAAGAAAGAACTACCTGGTGACACCGAACTCATATGGCAGAAAGGGACGAGAAACAGGGGGTTGTGACAGACGGTTCCATTGGAGTTTCACCGACTCATCAGGAGGCTGAACCCTTGACAGTCTGCAGAGTCCCCTAATGGATGGATGTTACTGAGAAGTGATATTTCGGGTCGGGGGCTTGAATCCGTGCTTGCATGGAGGAAGGCGTAGGCCTAGATGTGCGGATCCATGAATTGCTGTGGAAGCACCGGTTAACTGACGGGGAGCGGTTGTACCCTGTATGTGGTGGGCGGGCTAAGTACCAGTGGGGGGGGTACGTGCAGATGAGGAGCAAAGTGTGCGAGAATTGCTGTGTCCATGTGGTGTTGTGTGTGGTGTGTGGAGTTGGACACTACAGCTTTGCAGGGGTGGGGTGGATATCACGACCGCTATGGTTCCACTCTTTAACACAGTGTCCTGGCTGTAGTGGTTAAGATACTTGGCTCTGGAGGCCGAGGTCGCCGGTTCGAATCCGTGCTTGCACTAGATGTGCGGATCCATGAACTGCACCAACCACTACCTCACAACTGGTGCCCTGAGTTGGCCACCAACCACTGCCCCTGAGGTGGGCACCAAGGACTGCCCTCAAGGGGCAAACAAATCTTTTAACGAACTGAGCCTGCATACTGTCAATAGATGGAATGCATCTAGATAAAAAATGTACTTGACCTGAATGCATCTAGATAAAAAAATGTACTTGACCTGGTAATTCATGCGACCTCAAGAAATTGGGGAGAGACCACCAAGCCTGGGAAGAAGATGCAGCTAACTGAGAGGGTGCATCTTTCTCATGAGTTTCGCACGGCACCTTTGTGGAATGTAAAAACACTTGCTATTTTGTATTTACCCTTTTCTGATGAGTTTGGCAGTACTATCATGTATGAAGAAGGGATGGTAATGTTTGACATTCTCTTCCAGTTTAAACTGGGGGCTCCTTCTGGAACTCCGTTGTTCGTTCCATTTCTGTTCAGATGATAAACGCTTTTGCAAGCAGAGGATACATGTCACCGGCTTCAACGGTGGTTATCTGCCACAGGTATGCTTTTGGAGTAACTGTTGTCCAATCGCTCATCCCATGCGGTCCTTCCATCTCATTTTTGTACATACAGGGGGGGTGTAGTAGGCAGGTTGCAGTGAAGTACACCAACGTGACGAGCCTTGTACGGCTGGGGCACAGTAAAGGGAGAGCTGAAAGAAGAAATAAAAGAGGGACCGCGAAAAAAAAGCCGAAAGAAAGAAAGAGAACGAAGACCTGCGCAGAAGAAAAGGCAAAAAGAATGGTTTCAGTGTGGTGTGCTGATGGACATGTGAGAACATATTATTGCTTTGGTGTTGAATGCGCAGTTCATTTTTCGAATCCGAACTGGGATGGTAATATGTGTCTGCGCTCTCACTTATGGGCTTTTCTGGGGTGTTGGAACCTCCTTCAATAAGAGGAATGCCATTTCTAGGCATGAGGTGGGACACAATCTCTGTTGCTCCTTGTTTGCACAGATGCAGGTGAGAATAACACATCATAACAGTTATTATCTTAAAAAAAATAAAAAAAAATAAAAATTGGACCATTTCCCGATTTATGCGTGTCATCCTTGCGCAGGGTCCAGTGGCTAATTACCCTTCTCTGTATCGTTCCAATTTTAACGGATGTCCCGAAGGACATCATAACAGTCATCTTGCTATTTGGTTGTATACGAAACGGGATGGTGGTGCTAAACCTGGTTGCCTGTGTGTCTGAAAACGGATTCAACGAGGGTCCGCGTTGAATTCCGGTTGATTTGGCGCTTAAACGCCGAAGCAACGGGTTTGACCGGGACCCGGGATGATTTTTTGTGTGGGCTAAAAAGTATCCAAAAAAAAAAGGGGGGGGAAGGGGGTTGTAGATCTTTTTGAGGTCTACAACCTCATATTTTTATTTCTATTTTTTTAGCTTTGACTACATTTTGTAAAAATCAAAAACATAAACAGTATTAAACACAATGAAAAAAACAAAACAACAGATGAAATGAGTGTATTTTTTTTGGTTTCACAGATATTTTTTTAGGGCTAAAAAGAAAAGCAGAATAACAAATAAAAAATATAGGGTTATAGATCTTTCAAAGATGTACGACAACATTTTTTTTTTTTTTTAAACAAATCATTCTTTCATTACCAAAAAGCAACTCTTGAGGCCGGGGACCTCACAATTCAACCCGGATGGTATCTGACAGCATCAGTCAGCTTAGCTTGCAGGCTTAGCCTGAAGGTCCCTCCTCTACTCAACCCGAGGTTGACCTGCTGTTATTTAGAACTCTCCGGATTAGTACCTGTTTGAGTACACAGCCCATGTAAAATCCTTCCACTGTCTTCTGCACTGTCGTTCAAAGTCCGTCTTACAAAGACTGCCCTTTTCAACTGCGTTCTGACCTTGGCCTACTTCTGGGACTACCGCGGCCCAGAGGACTGCGTCCAACTACGAGCGGCGCTCTCCTAACAGCCCACAGTGGTCTTACCCGGGACCGAGTGCCCTGGTCCCTGCTAATTTTCGTAACTATCTACACCTGTCCGCCTTCTCAGGTCGTTGTTGAGTTGCTTCTCTTGGATCCACTGCGAAATGACCAACCCCTTGGTAGCATGAACCGCAGCTAGTTTGTTCCCTCTAGCCCATGTGTTCAGAAACCAGTTCTTCTGTCTTCGACCACTTCTTCCCTGGCGCACAGTCCTTCGCCAGTCCACGGAGATTGCCTGTTTCACCCCATGCTTAATTCTCGCTTTCAGTTCCACGTCAGACAATGGTCTGCCCTCAAATCTTGCCCTGTTGCGGTTTGACCAAATTACTTCACAGAGGATTCCTCTGATCACATGAGCAATGTACCCCCAGCCGCTCTTTGTGCTGACTTCCTCCTTTAGAAAACCCAGCAGAACCCACCTTTCATCCCAGACAACCCCTTGTCCTCCAATTGTCCTCCAGTGGTACTCCCACCACTTCCAAATCCGTTTTGACGCCGGGCATTCCCACCACAGGTGCCTGGTGGATTCAAACGGCCAGTTGCAGCGTCTGCATCGAAGATCAACCTCCATACCCCTGCTCACCAACCAAACTGCAGAAGGGGCAACTAGTAACGATAACAGCCACAGTATACTGACTTGCTTGCCGTTTGGCAAAGACTTCAACGTCTCCCACAATCTGTTGAACCATGCCACCGGATCGATGTTCAGCTCCCTTAGTGGTGTTCTGCCTATCCATGTCAGGATTCTGGTTCTCCGGTCCGTCCCTTCTGAAGAAACCACACGAATCTGGGGAGGGTTGGCCCACCCCATGATTCTTCCTTCTCCAATTCTTTCCAAGGTATTCGTGTGCTCTGCTGCCTTCCACTTCTCCACCCTTCTGAACCCGCTCGGTTCGACCTCCTCCACCTTCCACACCACTCCTGGCTCTTCTTCCTGCGCCGCTATGTACCAAGTGCCTGGGGGATCAATCCCTTCAGGTCCTAATAGCTGCACCCATTCCTGTGGTATGGCCCGAATCAACGCAATCCAGTTCTCTTCCACCTTGTGTAGGCCACTCAGTTTCCTTTTGATCTTTGCCAGTGGCTCCCAACTGCCTAGTAGTTGTGACCAAAGGTCCCGTATTCTTGAGACTCCCTTCCGCACCCATGCTAACCCAAAGGTTGCTGCCGAGCCGTCCGCCACAAAGGGGGTTCCGTTCTGGGTGATTGCCGGGTTATCAAACAGAGGTTGTGCCAGTACCTCCTCCTTGGTTTGAGGTTGTTGTCTGGATTCCGGTGGCTACTTCTTCCAGGCTTTGCGTACTGCATTCCAGAAGCCTGACTTCAGCCTTTTCTTGCAGAAAGACTCCATGAAGAAGCACGCCCAGACGTCTTCTGGGCGTGACAAACCCCATTCTGCCATAAAGATTCGTTCTGCCAGCAGGATCCAATGCTCGTTGGCCTTCGGAGTCGTTGCCACTTTGCACAGCCAGGTACGTAATTGAGTTTGATTTCTGTTGGCCAAGTCCATGAGGCCGAGCCCTCCCTTCTCCCTTGGGAAGGTGAGGGTCTCCCACGCTACCTTGACCAGGAAGCCTTCCGGTTGTTTCTCTGAGGGTTTCCACACGAAGCGAGCCACCAGTCTGCGCACCGCTACCAACACCCCACATGCCAGTTCTCTCACCTGGCTTACGAACCACAGAATTGTGAGCAGCGCTGCGTTAGCCACCAAGGCTCTGCCCACAATGGACAAATGCCAGGTTCTGCCCCACAGGTTCAGTCTAGCAGCGATTCTCTGCTGAAGCAGCAACCCCTGGGTTGATTCCTGTATGTGCAGACTGATCAAAACCCCGAGGAACCTTTCCTCCTCTCCCTCTTCCACCCTTCTCATTCCCCATTCCACCTTCAGTGCGTAACTTTTTGGCAGTAAAAAGGTTGACTTGCCCCAATTTACCGATGCTTCCGACAGTTCCGAATACTCCCTTATTGTGTCTTTGAGAGCCACCAGTGTTTCCACTGTGTTTTCACAGACTGCGAGTAAGTCATCCGCAAGTGCCTTGACAGTGCAATCCTTGCGATTGTGGAGCTGCAGCCCTCTGATGTCGGGATGTCTTCTGATCCGATTCAGCAGCACTTCCATCTGTAGGACGAAGAGAAGCGGTGCCAGCGGACATCCTTGCCTTAATGACCTTGTTAGTCTGAATGGAGCTGATATGTGACCGTTGACCACGACCGAAGAGGTAGAGAACGTGTACATTGCGGTGACCCAGCTGCAAAACCCACGACCAAAGCCCATATGTCTTAACGTCGTTAGGACGAAGGTCCAGCCTACTTTATCGTAGGCCTTCTCCAGATCGAGAAGGAGTACCGCCATATCCAGATTCTCCGATTGTACTATCTCTAGAACTTCGATCGCCGTGACAATGTTGTTGAAGATTGAACGTCCTTGGACAAACGCGCCTTGGTCCTCTCCCACCAGATCCGGTAAGTACCTGGCTAGTCTCCTTGCGAGAGTTTTCGCCAGGATTTTGTAAGACACGTTCAACAGGGAGATAGGTCTCCAGTTTTTGACCTCCGCCTTGTCTCCCTTTTTGAACAGTAGAGTGATGATGCCAAAGGTCATGTGAGAGCCAAGCTTCCCACCGTCCAGGACCTCGTTGAACAGTGCCACTAGGATCGGGCCCACCCAGGACCAGCTCTTGGTGTAGAACTCTACTGTCAAACCGTCAGCTCCTGGAGACTTCCCCCTGGCCATGTTGCGCAGTGTCTGTTTCGTTTCTTCCACTGTTACCGGTCTGTCCAAGTCCAGCCTTGCCTGGGTTGAAAGTCTGACTCCTGTGTCGTTCCACATATCAGATACTAGAGTGAGGTCCGTGTTGGTGTCATCTTGAGGCCTTCTTGTGGTCAGGATATCCTCATAGAATATTTTCGCATACTCCAACATTCCTGATGCTGTGGTCGCTCTCGGAGCCATAGCATCCGCCGGGTGTCTTAGCTCTACCATCTGCAGGTGGGTCCTCCTGGGCTGCAACTTTTGGAAAGTCTCTCTTGTCATTTTGTCATGCGTCACAATTCCCTTTTCCTCCAGTACCTCCTTCCGCCACTTCTCTTTCTCAACTTGTAGCTTTTCCCACTCTGCCATCCTCTTTTCCCTCTCTGCTGCCCAGGCTAATACTGTGATAGGATGTCCCTCCATCTTTTCCTCCGCCTCTTCCACTCTTCTCCTGCATTCTGCTTCCTTCTTGTTCCTTGATCTGGCCAGAATTCTTGAACTCACATCCATAACCTTGGAGATAATGCCTATTCCACTGTCTACCCATTCTGCAGTGGAGCCAAAGTGCTCCCTGGCTGTTTCGCAGGCTGTCATATGTCGCTGAACCCACTCTATCAGGCCAGGTTCTTTCAGATTGCGTGAGTTCAGTCTGAAGAAACCGCTCCCTCGTTCCAAACCGGTACGCAGTTTGATGTTGGCCACTACCGGTTTGTGGTCCGACATGGGGTTGCCCACTTGGTACACCGACGTTACTCCCTCCATCACTCCTTCGCTTACAAGTAGTCCAGTCTTCTTCGAGTCACGACCTGTCTGTTCCTGTGGATGTGTGACGTCCAAGTGTATCCTGAGTCCTCTGGTCTCAGGATTCTGAATGGGTCCACAATTGAGAGTTCCTCCGTGACTTCCAACAGAGCCCTCACGTCCTGTCTGTCTGCGTGGTGGGAACCTGGCCATAGTGCTTCGTCTAGGGAGATGTTCCAATCGCCTGCCAGCACGATCTTCTCTGTCTTTGGCATGTTTCTAACCACCCTCTTGTAGAATTTAGCCCTGTCTCCCACATGAGTTGGTGCATATACTGTCATCAGCAGCCATTTTTCTGTCCCTGCTTCAATTCTCATCCATGCCCACTTTCCCCAGATGTCTGCCTCTGACTCGATCACCCTGACTTGCAGATCTCTGTGCAGGAGGATACCTACCCCCCCTCTGGTACCCTGTGCCGGTGCCCATATCTGTGGGCCTTCCCACCATGCGCCCAGGTCTCTCAGTTTATCCTCATTCAACTTTGATTCCTGCACCATTAGGCAGTTCACCCCCCAGTCATGTACCCAGCTTTTCACTCTTCTCCTCTTTTCTCTTCCCCCTGTGTCCCCCAAGCCCCGAACGTTCCAGGTTGCTACTATTAGTCTATCCATCCGCTTGCGAGACGTCTGCCCGCTGTTGGATGCAGGGAATCACTGACTGTTGCTGTTGGTGTGGTCTGCTTGCGCCATTCGGACCAGATGGAACTCTGGTGTTGCTTCTTGAGCTTCCCCTTGAGCTGCACCTGGACGAACTAGCCCGCGATCCTTCCCCCCACTCCTTTGTCAGACTACTTACCATAAATGCCGATTGTAGACCCTCATCTTCCTCCAACTTTTCACTCACTTTTAGGAGGATATCGCCATTAATCCCCGGAGCAATTCTGATTCCTTCCAGTGTTTGCAGGTTCCTCTCTCGGATGACATCCATTCGATACCACCTTATTCCCGACTGCGTCAGAAGCTCCGCTGTTTCGGGAGGGATTCGGGCGTCCAACAACGGAAAGTAAACTTTGAAGTAGCCTTCTGGAGTGTCACAAAAGATGCTGACCATCGAGGACTTCGGAATGATTCGTGTCGGTACATGGTTGCCGTATAGGACCCTTGTCATCTCCATAATCATGGCGACTGTTGGTGACTTGTCAATTTCGACTGAGGGTATCAATGGCTGGCCATCATTGTCTGCCACTGCCAATAAATAAATACCATTGTTTGCCATGGTGCATAGTAGGGGTACCAGCCGCCGTTTTGCCACTTCCACTTGATCCTTTTGCGTTGTCATCTCCCTTCGGTCTCTGACCGTTGTCCGTCTGCCACTGCCCTCGTCTCCTGTTGGGCCTTGCTTCTTGGATTGTGCAGAGCTCTCACAGGAGGAGCGCTCCATGTCAGCCACTGATCTTGAGTCTCTCCTTTCCTCTCCTGTCCCCTCCGGACCCAACCATTCGCTACCCATCCTCACTCTGGAGTGAGAGGAGGCCGGTGTCCTGGACAGGTTTGGTCCCGGTTCCTCCTCAGGTATGCCTTCTGGCCTCCTTGAGCCTTGTCTTCCTTCCCTGTGCGAGGCTTCCCCACGGAGTCCTCGTGTCTGCTCCGACCGTTGGCGGCGATCTCCGCTCTCCACATGATCCCCGGCAATCGCCGATCTCTCTCTCCAAGTTGCCTCACCCATGTCTCTCGGCTCCTCCTCCCTCCATGTCCTCCAGGCCCCTCCTCTGCGCCTCATTCCCATCTCATTTGCTCCTTGCCTTTCGTTAGTACACCCACCAAAAAAAAGCGCTTGCGCTTCCGGCCTTCTCTCTGGGCCTTGAGGGATCGAGCTCCGCCATTCTAGTATCCTGTCTGGGTAATGTGCTTGGGGGTATGCTGGGTGCACGATCCCTTGCACGTGAGTTCCGCCCCTGGGGGGGTATTGAAAGCCCGTATGGTCCGTTGGGTGTTCCATTCCGTGGAAATGCAGATCTTGGGTACGCTGCATATTTTGCCAGACTTCTCTAAACACTCCTTCCGGGTTCAAGCCAGCACCTCCTCCTTCTGGCAGCTGCCATCCGCCTGGCCTGCCATCCCACTCCGTCCTTGTCCTTTGATCCATTGAATCTCCTCGCATATCCCTGAACCCAGCTTCTGCTCTACTGCTCCTCCAGGGGGGCACTTCGCCCATTCCCCTGAGATCAACTTTTCTCTCGCCATTTGCCTCCAGACCTGGTGCCCATCTCTCCCGCCCCTGCTGTTCCACAGTGTTGAACTCTGGCTGCGTCCTTTGAGGTTCCTCCTGCCGTTCCCCCCTTCCTCCTCCTGCCTCTGCTTCGGCCCTCCTTGGCTGATTGATTATGAATTGCATAAACCGCTCTCTGTGCCCACCTGGTCTTGAAGGGCCCTCCCTCCTTCGGCCGTCGTCCTGGCGACTCCGCGGGCAATTCTCTTCTGTATGAAAATACCAACGGCAACGCCGACACCAGTCTGTATACGGTGTTGCAATTTCCACCTTCCCCCTTTCCCCCGCTGGGCCTTGAATTACCAATTCATCTTCTATATCGTAGCGCGACTCCGGGTCCATATCGAGCTTAACATTCATCAATTTCGGTCGAGAGCGATCGAACTCTGGCGGATGCATATTCCTCACCTCACCAAACAGGTTGCTGACTGCACTCCAAAGGTAATAGTAGGCCTCTAGCGGGACGCGTAGTGCAATAATCCAGAAATTTGTTGCCGCCTCTTGCAGGCGAATTTCTTTAAGTTCATTCCGGGTCATCCACGGTTTACATACCGTTGTGTATTCTTCGTCCGCCAATCTGAGCTTTATTTCGCCCTGCCTTATCAACCACTGTGCCACTTCTTTGGCATTCGCCACGTATGAGACAACGTTGGCACCTTCAAAACTTACTCTTCCTTTTCGAACGTCTGGATGAAACCGTTCCTCCGCTAACCATCCATCTTCATAGGCCCTCACTAGGTCCTCTTTCACTGATCTAGATAGTTTCTTTGCCTCCTCTTGAAAGATCAGGATTACCGTACGCTCTTTTAACCACTGCTTCTTTATCTCACCCACTGCGCTGTTGACTACAAATCTTCTGTCGTTCTCGTCTTCGACCACTTCACCAATATCAAGGTCCTCCGGGCAGATGCCCTCATCGTAGCAGCGCCCTACTGAGTCACGCACCCTGTCATCCTCACTCCTCGGGTCAGGTGGTCCCGGTGGTCGGTGTCTATGCTGACTTCCTTGGTTTCGTTGAGACGCCATTCCTCCTCCTGAACTTCGCTCTTCTCTGCCCTAGGTAGACTCCGTCGGTGTCTTCCAGGTCTGTTGGTCACTTGTCTCTCTCGTTTCTTTCTCCAGTCTGTCCCCCTTCACTGTCGACCGCCTACCCTACCCTATCTACTGGGACTGTTCAGCTGGAGCTTGGCTATGAGAGAGCGAGCTCCTCCACCCGCGATGAGGGGTGTGCCAGCATCCATCCCGTTCCCCGTCGCGATGGTGGGGGTGACGGTGAACAGCGCCGCGTGAAACTTTGCGGCGACGCCCGGTAACGGAGCGCTACGCTACCCGCCCGGTACCTGCGTTCCCCCCCCCTAATCTCAGGGGCATTTCGAAACATCCTTTTTGTTTTTTTTTTGAACCTCATGTATTAAAAGAAAAACATAAAAACAAATAAAAAAGTAAAAAAAGACGCACACACAACACACACAGACATACATAAACACACACACACACACAT